TCGCGGAGCTCTTTTTTTTTTTTTTCCCCCTCACTGCTGATAGACGTCCAAACTAGCTCTTCTGATTGGCCAAAATGCTCTGATCTTTAAAGAATGCCCGCCGTTGCCTCTACAGATGCACAAATGCACATATTTTACACAGATATGTGGTGCAAAAGGGAGAGTGCGCGAAAGTTCAAGTAAAAGTGAAGTGACGTGTGGCCAAGTATGGTGACCCATACCCGGAATTTGTGCTCAGCATTTAACCTATCCAAGTGCACACACACAGTAGTGAGCACACACACACCCGGAGCAGTGGGCAGCCAATGCCCGGGGAGCAGTGGGGGTTCAGTTCCTTGCTCAAGGTTCTCACCTCAGTCGTGGTATTGAGGGTGGAAGAGAGCGCTGGTTATCCACTCCCCCCCCTACCTACAATCCCTGCCGGACCAGAACTCAAACCCGCGACCTTCGGTTACTAGTCCGACTCTCTATCCATTAGGCCACGACTGCCCCCTGAAACTTCATTTGCAATTGAAAAACAGCATTTGAGACTCGTAGCAGCAGATTCACGCCGTTGTCATTGTGCACTTGTGTTTGCGCTAGAAAAAGCATCCAAGAAAAAAATTAATAAATAAATAAACATTCTACAAATGTGCAAATCTCATTGCAAGAATTCACATACTGATTTGCAGATGTACAAAATGTGTCCGTGACTTCACATTTTTGATGCAGGTGTGTGAATGTGTTTTGCACCATATTCACTGCAGCAATAGTAGCAAAATATGTGAGCGTAGAGTTTCTTGATTTGTGATTCGTAGAATAGGATTTGTGCACCTGCAATAAAGGATTCGAGAAGGTGTAACTGTTGTGTTGCGTTTGTGGGAGAGAGAAAAAAAATCTACAAGTTTGCAACTTTTGTCTGTGACTTCAAATTGACTGATACAAATGTGTGGCTATTCTCTACAGCTACTAATTCCGCTGTCACAGACGCTCAGTTGTTTTGCACCAAAAATACCTTCATACTTCCTACACAAACAGACCAGCCACATGTTTGACAGCACAACCTCATTCTGCAAATGACACCAGGCGAGAAAAACTGCATGCAGCATTAAAATAGTCAATACAGCAAATTAGAATTAATGGAAAGTACAAATCTGGTAGTTAACATTACATGTCCAGCAGTGACAGCAATGTCACAGCATACACTTCAAATAGAACTACTTTAAACATCTCATTTAGAACCATTTAAACATTTCAACAGCATGTAACAAGCATTTATGATATTATTATTTGTAAAAAATAAATAAATAAATAAATAATATGTCAGTACAGCCTATTTAAGTGAACTGCAAACAAATCTTAAAGTTTTACACAGATATTGGTTACAGCAAATGAACACTTTCCTTTATACAATGAATAAACCTAAGAAAATTAAAAAAATATTGTTACTGGGGGATTAAGTTTACATTATTTGCCAATTATCCAAATAAGTAATTCCATGACAAATAAAATGACAGCAGCAACGCTAACCCAAAAATACACCAAAGAACACAATGTTGTGTTGACATTATGTGTTGATAATGGCCCTATAATGGCATGGCTGGACATGCACAATAGTAATACCATAGAATTTTAAATACTATTGTACAATTAAAAGGTATATGCAAGCACTTTACGTTTCAGACAAGACAGCTATTGTGCTGATATTGTGTTCATTGGAATACCATGGTAAGTCAATATAGTAATATAAACGATGTATGTAACTAAGCAAAATCTCACTTACGTTTCAAATATGAGGGGTTATTGTGTTCACTTTCGCTCTGCCAAAGAATTATTTCCAGACAGAGGTCAAAACAGCGACGCGCGTCGAGTGTTCATGCAGTAAACAACACAAAACATGAAGCGATTAAAAACGGTGTAATTCCGGTACGCTAATGTGCGAAATAACATCTTATTTGACCAATCAAAATACTGGACTGTTTAATTAACAGTTGTCGCAACCAATGGCGAGAGCTTGGGGGCGGGATTACTTGTTTGAGCGATCAATGACGGACAGGGACAGTGGTCGGGGGAAACCTGTTTGAAAATAATAATTGGCTGAATTCAGATTATTATCAGTCTGATCTTTCTGTCATATTTGCATGCCAGAAATAGTAAATGTAGTATGGTATTCCGAATTCTACGGAATTCAACCACTTTTACAATTATATTTGATGACTCATAATATTAACATCACAATACCATGGTATTACCACATTTTTATGCATTATTTATTTATTTAGTTTTTTTTTAGTTTTTTTTTTTTATAAGAGAACACTGTAGAGATCTCTAGATTACTTGTTCATAATTTTACAAATGATCTTGAAAAAGACCAAATTTAAATATGTCTAAATCTACTGCATATTTACAGTCCGAAAACCTGTAACCTCACCATAGAGAAAAATGGCTTGACACATGAACAAAACAGGACACAGGAGAATCATGCTGACAGCTCCTGTCTGTCCCGGGGCTACAGGGTTTCTGTCTGACGCTCAAACAGGCACTTCTTTTTAGCAGTGTGGTTTTTCTCCTATGAAAATTAGTTTGCAGCATTGAAACCACACAATTACCCCTCAACCACCTCACAAGAAGCAGTTCAGCCTGTCTGTCACGGGCCTTTACCAAAAGATGATCATTTCTCCTGAAGCACACGCAACCCCGCACACTTTCATAAACACCTGCGTGCGCACTTCACCCCTGCAGGATGCAGACATTGACTAGCTAATTATATAATCTGGGTAATTAGAATCATAAATCAGAGCTGTAATAGCAGCTCTGAAACATTCAATAGAGGCTCATCTGAGAGGAGAGAGATAACAGCCTCAGCCTTGTACTACAGCACCTGAGCGCAAACCTCACACATAGCGCTGGCTGCGAACGCACACGCTTCCTGGAAGCCCTATTATCACATGTGCCTGTGAGCTCTGCAGCGCGGATCTGTGTGTGTTAGTCACACAGAAAATATGTTTTATTGGAATGTTTTGATCTAGAGATCACAGTATGTGTGTGCGAGAGACGTTGTTGGGAGTGGACTAGCTTTCTTATTGAATACAGCACTAAGGACACTGTACTTCTTGTATATATAAATTACTATGAGGCCTACAATTTTTCTATTAAAATCTTAAGTAAAAAAGTAGCCTTTCTTAGAATGAAATACTAGCTTACTTTGGCATAGTATGCATTGTATATGGCATACATTCATGTAGTATTTTTCTTTAAATAATAATCAAGAAAGGCTGTGTCCCACTTGATGTGCACTTGAAGGCTGCGTTCCATTCTGAAGGCCTCATCCCTATGCCCTAATTCCTTTGAAGGAATTCCTCTACCCTCCGGAGTGCGAGCTTCGAAAGGATGAAGGGGTAAGGGCACAAACTGTTTCATGAAACACACTTCTGTGTCATCTTGCGTCACAGATTAAACCTGCGCTAAGAATCATGGGAGTGAAAAGTGTCCTTCAGTTGTACCATTCGAAATCCTTCATTCCGAAGGGCCCTTTGAAGTGGCCAGTTTAGCACACCTTGAGAAACATTTTGGGAGTTTTGAAGTCGTCAGCTGATTGGTTGAGTCCTACACGATTTCTGGGTGCTGCATTCTTTAACGGTACGTCTGGAAACAAAGCCATAGTGACATCAAACCCACTCATGGAAAATAAATCCTTTACAACTGTGACAATGTGGATTTCCAAAAGTATGTGAAGTTTACGGCATGGACTCTGCAGCGTTTTTGCAGTAAACTTGCACAACGTTCATAAATCATGAATTATTTTCCTTTGCATGCAGGTCTGTTATCGTAGGAACATCGGCTTTGCATTTTTATGTGCCTAAACATGATGTTAAACAAAATGAGCTGTGATTGGTCGTTTTACATGTCTATCAGATGTGGGCAGTCCTTGGCCAATAAAAACTGGAATGGAGTCCAGACCTCCTGCCATCAGTCTGAAGGTCTGCCTATACGAAACTATGCATATTTAAGATGAAGTTATGAAGCTACCGTTGTCCATGTTCCACTCTCAGTCTGCCTGACATCATTTTTGTTATCAGCGACTGATTTGAACAGAAGTTTCACTAGGTAGTGCGCATGCACCAAACACGCCCAACTGCAGTCACAGTCAGTAGAGTACACTTTGAAGGGCCTGCTCGTTAAAGGCCCGAGTATACTTCATTTTCCATGTTCTGCACCATCTAGCGCACAATTGAGCGTGCAAATTCTTCAAAGGCCTTGTCCCAAATGGCACATTTCATGTGCACTTGTGGTCTTGTGGACTTAGAGTGGCTGTCATGTGCACTTGTCCATTAAGTCCACAAAACTATAGGGTGTCTTGTTTGTCTTTTTTTTTTGTGCTAAAAATGACAAGGTTGTACGCCCTCGAAACACACGCCTGCCGAGTCTGCACTGAGGCGAATTCCACAGCAGACTTCTAATAGTCAAAGCAGCATTATAGCAAGCGGTCACAAAAATGTGGAGGATGAATGGAGGAAGACCGGAAGGGCTTAGTCTTCCATTTGGGACAAGGCCAAAGTATACTCTATTAATTGTGAGCGTGGATGGACGCATTTAGTGCATGCACACTACCTAATGGACAAATCACTCATATATGCACTTCTGTCTGCAACATGAGTGGACTATGCTGATGATGAAAATTAAGTCATATGGACCGGCTGCAAGCTGGACAAGGGTAGTATATTTTTGACTTTGCCAATGTGATGTAAAAAAATGTGGCTGTAATTATTTCTGGTTGTGCGTCACACAGCAATTGGAAAATAAAGTCAGATGCATTGCATTGTGCTGTACAGTTTGAATTTCTGAAATATTTCGCACTTTTGAATTCAATGTTGTGTATAAACATGTCAGCTAGATTGAATATGGATTAGAATTGACTTACAGTCAATTCATCGCACTGGAAATGGAAGGTCAAGTTGAGTGCACTGGATTGTGGGTTACTGTCTTCCATGCAGTGTAGTACACTACTACATCCGGAGAACCCATACAGAGAAAATCTGAATATCGTGCACAGCATACCTATTATACACTGCATAAATAGTAAAGAGCAGGATATTAGTATGTTACACATTTTGTCAAATGTGGTACTATTGCACATTTTGCATACTACTGCACTCTACAGAGGTAGTAAGAGCAGTATGTTAGTATGCGATTCTGAACATATCAATCTGAGCCAACACCAGGCAGTGATCTTCAGCCTCTGTGCAATGTGGTGTTGAACCTTCCTGCATGACAAACACAATCTGGTCACGCATGTGCGCACACTCTCACTCCTCATGCATGCTTACAACCTGCATCTGACCTCTGATCCCCCCCCACACACACACACACATGAACCGAAGCCAGAGGAGAGGAGAGGAGGCAGCTCACAGTCAGAGCTCATTTGACTCAAACACAGCTCAATGCAGCACATGTGCAGGAGGGAATTAAGAGGACCATATGGCAATACGGTGCCGTGAGTGTTTAAGACATACTGTTACTGCATAAATAGCATATAAAATAGCCCCCCAACAAAGCTGGAAGAAGAAACAAAACATTTAAATATGTATGCTGCCGCTATACAATAATATGCTTAAAATCATCCCTATAAGGCAGAAGGAATATAAAAGATAAAACCCCCCAGAACAAGCAGATCAATTGCCAAGACATATGTACTGCTGCTGCTCCGGAGAGCCGTGAAACCGTGTGTTTGCTATCTATGTGAGCCTGGGCCGGCTTTGCCGAATGGCTTAAAGGGGTCATATGATGCTGCTAAAAAGAACATTATTTTGTGTATTTGGTGTAATGAAATGTGTTTATGCGGTTTAAGGTTAGCTCACAGTCAGAGCTCATTTGACTCAAACACAGCTCAATGCAGCACATGTGCAGGAGGGAATTAAGAGGACAGGTGGGCCGGCATATTCCACTATACCTGACTATAATCAGACGGCAGATATTGCATGATCAAAATATCCAAGACAAGTTTAAAATACCGGTTTAAAGGTGAACAGGATGTATAAATCAATACAGTGATACATATCTCAACATACACCATATGAAAATTTGATATGTTGCAGTTATGACATGACATTTGCAGTGTGATGAACAGATTAGATTTTTAGTAACTTTATTTTGATTTGGTGTTTGATCAGACTTTCAAAAGTTGACTTTTTCCCCCAAAACTTTAAAAATGATAACTAAACAAGTGACAAGGTCATGTGACAACAACAAAGCATATTATTGTTATAAAAAATTTGCATATGCCTACAGGTTCACATACTTTTTTTTAAAATAAAAGTGTATAGTGCACTTTATTCAATAAAAAGTCAACTAGAATTATATTCGGAACACAAGCAAAGTTTTAGACCCACCACAGAGTCACACTTATATATACATATAT